TTTCTAGAGATTATTAATTTATTTTCTGGAGGAATAAATAATACTTATTTATTGAATTTTTGATTATATAAAATAGATTAAATATGATCAATTGAGGAAGTATTTCTACAAGTATAAGTTACGGTTAGTAATATTTAGTTCATAAAAACTTTTTTAAATAGCTACATTTTTCTTTGATTATTTAGGTAATAAGAATTTGACAAATGTAATAGATGAAATAGTTGTTGGAAAACAGTTATTAGTGAGGATTTGACTAATATAATAGATGAACTAGTAGTTAGGCAAATAGTTGTCAGTTAGAATGAGCTCAAACATATCGAATCACAGTAAATAATATAAATGTGAGCATAAGCATAGAAAAAAAAATAAAAATTTTGGTTAAATTCAGAACCAAGAGTCAGAAATTTAATTCTAAAATATTAAAATACATACATACTATCAGCAATAAAACAGTGAGCACTGGCCAGACCACTACTATATACTAAAAGTTCAAAGAATATATATGAATTGTAGAATAAAAATGAATACATATTTAAAAACTATATCTTTCACTCTATATACTATCAAAATAATCACAAAAACAGAGAAATAATTATAAAAGTTAGCTATAAGATATTTTTTTTTAAATTTAGTTATTACTTAAAATATATAAGAATCTCTAACATGATAAAATATTAAAGCTTTTTTTTTAGTTAGATTTCTAGTAAGCTAGCTTGTTCTTAAGATTGATAGTATATTTAGATTGTAGTTGTTAGACAAAGCCTATAGAATTTGATATTGATGGAAGTAAAAACTGATTTCACTTAAGTTTGAGTATTTTGTATATTTTTTTACTTGTAGTTGTTTACTATTTCTTTTGTTTTATTTATATTAATATAATTAGTATTTTTTTTTTCTTATAATTAGATTACTAGTAAGTGAGCTTGTTCTAAAGATTAATAGTACATTTAGATTGTAGTTGTTAAATAAAGCTTATGAAATTTGATATTGATAGAAGTCAAAACTAGTATTAACTTAAGTTTGAGTATTTTGTGTAACTTTTTACTTGGTAGTTGTTTACTATTTCTTTTGATTTATTTATATTAATATAATTAGTATTTTTTTTTTTTATAGTTAGATATCTAGTAAGCAAGCTTGTTCTTAAGATTAATAATATGTTAGACAAAGCCTATAGAATTTGTCATAGATAGAAGTCACAACTGGTTTCAACTTAAGTTTGAGTATTTTGTGTATTTTTTTACTTGATAGTTGTTTATTATTTCTTTTGATTTATTTTTATTAATTAATATAATTAGTATCTTTTTTTTTATAGTTAGATCTCTAGTAAGCAAGATTGTTCTAAAGATTAATAATATATTTAGATTGTAGTCATTAGACAAAGCCTATAGAATTTGATATTGATGGAAATCAAAACTGGTTTACTTAAGTTTAAATATTTTGTGTATTTTTTTACTTGGTAGTTGTTTACTATTTCTTTAGATATTAATATAATTAGTACTTTTTTTTTTATAGTTAGATCTCTAGTAAGCAAGCTTGTTCTCAAGAATGATAATATGTTTAGATTGTAGTTGTTAGACGAAGGTAGTTGAGTTTAGTAAGGAGAAGTTCTGTAAATTTGGTAAGTAGATTTTTAAGAGTGGAAGTATAAGCATATTGAGGAATAATCAGTTTAGGAGCAAGTTTTGGGTTTGATTCTTGAAGAAATTGGGTAAGAAATTCTTCTGAAGCTATGGATTTAAGCAAGAGATTAAAGCTTTGTTTTTGAGGAGGTTTAGAGGATTTATCTTTGTCAGAAGTTGAAACAGGTTGGCCTAGAGTGAAATTACAAAGATGAGTCTTGGTAAATTTAAAAAGTTGTTATGCAAGTGAAGTGTTAAGTTTGGTGTTTTGCTCCATTTCTTGGGTAATTGGGTAGTTTGCAAACCAATTCAAGTCTTGAGAAGTATCTCTAGCTTTAGGTTTGTTTATTTGATTGGGTGGATTTTGTTTTATTTCTTTAGTTCTGTAGCAAGTTTTTGGAGTAAATTAATTTTATTATCTTTGTTGAGTTGGTAGAAATAATAGAAGTGGAAGAATGAATATTGTTCATGTGTAAGAGGTTTAGTAAAAGGAGTAGTCTTGAGTTTGGCATATTGGAGATTGTAAGCACAATCTCGATGAATCATAAGACCTTTGAAGATTATAGCTTGAGAATAGTTAGGTGCATGGTTTGCTTTTATAAAAACACAAAGAATATTTTTAATTTTACAGATTCTGCATATATGATAATATTGGGAGTGAGGATCAATTGCAGTTGGTTTGGGGTCGTATAAGGAGTAAAAAGAGAAATTTGAGAGGTTAATTGAAATTCTTGTTGTTGTTTTGAGAGAGGCAATTTGGGTAGGATTTCTGTAATTGTATCGAATCATTTTTTTGAAATGATTGTATTTGAAGAAATATCCATTGCTATGCAGCTAGCAGATTGCCTAGGTGGTGTAGTGTGAGAAATTTGGTAGTGCTTAGAGGTAAAGTTTGTATGAAATTTGCCATATAAGAAGTAGATAAGGCTGATTGAGTTGGCATTTTAAAATAGTAGTGCAGTTTGTTAAGTTCGCAGTTAAGAGGGTTAGTAATCTTAAGTAGTATACGTAAGGTGAGTGGGTCAGTTTCTTTTGTTCCAATACCAAAATGGTCTGGGTATTTGTTGTAAAAAAAGTCAAGATTATGAAAATCAGGATCTTGTGTTGTTAAGGTAAGCATTTTGATAGATTAGATAGCTAAATTGTTAAAGAGCAAAAGAAGAGCTTCTCAAAGTAGTAAAATTTGTTTTATGTAACATTGCACTAATTGGATAACTTTTTGTAGCTGGTGTGGCTGTGGCTGGTGTTGCTTGTAGCTAGTGTAGCTTGTGGCTGGTGTGGCTTGTAGCTTGTGTGGCTATAGTACAAAGGTGGCTTGTGTATAGTTGCTAAAAATAGTAGGTAGCGCTATACAGATTTGTATAAATTAAAAAGAATACAAATTTGTAATTATTTATTTCGTGTAAATTTAATTAAAGATAAGAAAGAAATTTTTAAAAGGGATTATTAATTGAGTAAACCAATAATTTTAGAGTTTCTAAAACGTGTTTGGGGCCGGGTTTAGGTAGGGAAAAAGGAGAAAAAAGGAAAAAAAGGAAAAAAGAGAAAAAGAGTTATTAGGAAGGGAGTTTGGAGCAATTTAACTATAAAATGGTCAATTTTTAGCCATTTGTAATAAATTTTATATCAAAATGAAGCTGGGAACGAGCCGGAGGACTTTGACTTAGAGAGTAAGACCAGTTTTCTTGGCAGAATTTAAGTAAACTCAAAGTGTATTTGTTTTGATGAAGTATTAATTAGTTTAGTTAAAACTTTGTTTAAAGCTATAAAACTTGATAACTATATGTAAATTGGGGTGTAGAACAACAAAATTTAATAAAAAAAGTATGTTAAAAAAGGTAATTTAGAGAAAACTTAAGTTTTGTTTTAGCAAATTTTGGTACAAGTAATCGTTGGGAAGAGTTAGTGAATCGGATCCTCAATTGTAACATAATTGATACTGCATTTACAAAATATGACTATACTTTTTGATCTTGAATTGGTAAAATATTTCTTAAAGCCATTGTTGAATATATTAAAGTCTATGTTTTCCACTGATTAGATGTAAATCCAGAAAAACTAAATGCTATTTTATATGAAATTCTTCCAATACTAGCAGGTAGTGGACTATTATTAACAATATTTTGAATATTAATAAGTTGATTTTTTGAAATTAAATCAGTTTCTATTGTCCAAATTTTCATTATTTTATAAGTTATTCCAAGAAAAATATTATATATCAGATCAAAAACAGAAAATTTTATTGAATTAAAATATGATAATTGAAGAAAACTTGACCATCGAATACCATATTGATCAAACAACTGTTTATACTCACTAGATACAGAATATTTCTATTTCTCAGCTATTATTTTATGTTTTTCAATAGTTCATAAAGTATAATTGTCAATATTTGATTGATCTGAAGTATCATTAGTTTTAAAAAGTTTTCTGCATTTAAAACATGCATGTTTAGAAGAATAACTAGAAAATCTACAAATTTTATTTCTTGCTGGTGTATCACATAAAACTAAAATTAAAGCTCCATAATACATTCTTCCGGCTGGTATTTCATAGTTGCAAATGATTAACCAGCTCATAATTGTTTAAGCTTATCAACTAATGGATCTAAATATAAATTAATTTTTTCTGTTGATAGTTTATTTGGTCCAGGAATAAGACTAACAAAAATTGTGTTTTCTTTTTTATATCTTAGATAACATGACAAATTTAAAATAGTTAGATAAACTTCAGCAATTGAATAAACTATATGTTTAGTAACTTTAAACAAGTCAATATTAATTGCAAAGCCAATATTAGTTTTGTGCAAAAATTTTTGAAAAAAAAGTTCGTTTTGATCATTTTTAAAAGTTTTCTACACTTGTCCATCATAGAGATCAGAAAAAATATCAGATAAAGTGTTTTCTCTTTCATAACAAGATTCTAACAATTCTTCAAAACCAGGTCATTGCAATAAAGTAGCTAATTGACTTAAAATTGATTGATATGAATATACTTTAATTGGTTTGTAAATTAATTTCCTTTGCTTGTTTTAATTAGTTTTTTTAATAGTGTTTTATATTCACTACAACTTGCTTGTAAATTATTAGATATACTTTCTAAATTAGTTAAAAAATGGCATTTTTCATATATAACAAATTGTATAATTGTTTTTTTAAATGATATAGCATCTTTAGCTTTATATAATGTTTTTGGAAAATTTGAATCATTATTAAATACTAAAGCTTTAATAAATATTAATAAAGCTGTAACTGCAGTATATGGTAAAACAAAAGCTTGTTGAAAAGAAAAAATCTATAATAAAACCTATTGAATTGTTAAGTTATAAGAATCTTTAAAAGTATTTGATAATATAGAGTATAGTATATATTTTGAATTAGGCTAAGTATATGTTTTAGTATTTTTAAAGCTTAAAATTGTTTTCTCGTCAATATCACTATCTTCTAATTCTATATCATCAAGTAGTCCAGTATTTCTTATAGATAATGAATCTTTAAAATTATTTTCTTGTTCAGTTTCAGTTTCACTATCTTCTTCAGAAGAACTATAATTTAATACTACTCTAAATTTTTTTATTCGTTCTATCTCCTCATTATCTATTTCTTCTGCTTCATGTTCTACTTCTTCATTTTTTCCTTCTTCATTTTCACCTTCTTGCTCAATTCTTTGTTCAATATTACTTGCTAAAAATGATGTAGTTAAATCTTCAGCAGATGATATTGATAAATTAAAGCTTTGACTAGTAGATAATAATGGTTCTCTAGTTTCTTCCTGACAATTATCAATAAAATGATCTATTCTTCCAAATTCTTCTTGTCTATGTAATCTTTCTGTTTGAATACTCACAACTTTTTCACTTTTACTACAAATAAAGCAATAACACCAAACCATATTTGTCTATAACTTTATAGTAATTAAAAAAATTGAAATATATTTTTCTTTTGATTTAAAAACAACTAATTTTATTTGTTATTGCTAAGAAAATAAAATGTAGAAAATGTTTTTTTAATATTATATTGTTTTAAACTTGGCTCTTGTTATTTAATAAATTTTTCACAAAATGTATTTATATTTTACTATCCAAGATATATTTTTTTTTTGCCTAATGATAAATTTAAACTACAATTGAATATATATTTTCACTATATTAAAAAAATATATAGAAAATTTTTAATATTATATAGAGTTTTAGCAAATATTAAGTTTGGCTTTTGCTATTTAAAAAAAATTAATTATTATATACAATTATATATTCAATATTTAGATTTGTATTCTTCATTACTATTTTTTTTGTATATTTTTTTATGTTAAAAGAGTGTGTATTAATTTATTTCTCTTCTATTTATATAGCTGTTTACTATATTATGTATAGTAGTTAGTTTATTTAAACAATAATAACCTTTGTATATACGTATATATAATATTTGTATATATGAACATACATAATAAACAGGTCAATTATTGCATCATTGTATTCATACTCACACACTGTTGCAACTGGAAAAAGTCTCCAATTTCGCAATATTAGTTTAGCTTAGAGTTATGAATATAAGCTTGAGTTCAATTTATAAATGAAAGTAGATTAGTTGAATAGCATTATTCTATAGATTGTTGTTTTATGGATTGTATAATAATTTATAAGTGAATAAATACGTAAATATATGCAAAATGTTTATAATTATTGATCTAGCCAAGACTTAGACTATATAGTAGATCTGAAATTATTAAAGTTAAATTTCTAGATACAGAATAGAATATTACAGGCCATCAGTATGCTAAATAAAGGTTATAACAGGTTTGAGATTATTGTAGAATTCTATTTTTCTAAACACAACCTTTTTAATAAATATCTGGTTTTTTATTTGTTGATTAGTTTGCATATTTTGTATACTATAGTAAGTAGACCAATCTAGATTATAATTAATAAAGTATGTATTATGAATAATTCGTTATTTTGTTATTTTTATTATTGTTATATATAAAATAAATAAGCTTTTTTTTTTAATAAAATACAAAACTTGTTGAAACAAGTATAGATTAACTTAATCTATTTTATATTTAACTATGAACTCATACCCCAAAATTTCAGGTTGGAACTATAGTCAGATAGACCAAAATTGATAGATTAACTTAATTTATTATATATTTAACTATAAACTCATACCCCAAAATTCCAGGTTGAAACTTTGGTCAGATGAGACAGAATTGATCAATTTGCCCAAGATTATTAATTAAGTAAAAAGTGTCTAAATGATAATTTTACTATAGCTTTTGCCAACTAGTATAGCTAACTTTAACTCTAACAATAGCCAAAATACAACATAGTTAGGATTGGGGTTAGCTATTCTCACTAATAGAGCTATAGTAAAATTATCTGTTAAACAATTTTTTTTTTTTTTTGGTTTTAAGGTGAGATCTTGCTCATATCTTTATTAGATAATTTATATAAGTAATTATATAGAGACTATATAAAAACTTAATTTGTATACAAACAAATAGATATAAATTACATGCAAGAATAGAAGCTCAGACTGATTTATCTGTGACCTAAACCTACTAGAGTGGTCAAAACTCACCTAGATTTGAATAGTTAAAATATGATTAATAGGTATGCCATATTTAATTTACATAGTAGACCAAATATTGTATTTAAGAAAGGCTTGTCCTAATGGAAGGCATGTGTTAGAGTTAGAGTGTAACTGGTCAGCATAGCCACAGAAGCAACTGTATGTATAGATAATTCTGTTTCTGTAGTTTCTAGAGAGTAAAGAGGACTGAGGTATAGTATTAATATGTGATGGGATTTGATGAACTTTTTTCTAGTACAAAAAGTTGGAGCAATAGGGGATCCAGATATTGTTATAGAGTTGATCGGAAATTTTTAAAAGTATTTTGACAATAAGTTGGGAGGCTTGGAAGTAAGAAATTTCGAAGGAGTCCAGAAATTGGATTAGAGCAGTAGGTATGAGACTTTTAAGTGCGGAATCAAGAGTGTAGGGGTATAGTTGTAATGGAGAGAAGTTGAAGGAAGGGTGTGAAGTGATAGTGTATATTAGATTATTTAGCTGGTATGTCGTAAGGTTGAGGTTAGTATTAGAGATGATATTATAAATTGAGTTGTTAATAGTTTGGGTTAAGAGTGTATTATCAGGACAAGAGTATCAGTGAGAGGGGGTATCGGGCTGGTTGCATAGCAACAATTAGAAGATGTAAATATAAGAGAGTAAATAGAGTGAAAATATGCATGCGTAGAAAGAATATTAAGAAGCATTTTAATTTTAAAAGATTTTAGATAGTTTAATTTAGGGTTGGTAAAGTTGTATGATACTTTTTGATTGTTGTTAAAGTATAGCCAAGAGGCTTTCTAGTCAATTAGATGAGAGAAGTAAGACTATTCATGGACACAATGTTGTGAGGATCATAGAGCGATATTGTGAGCTTTTCGAATTGATTTAATAAATTGTCTAGTAGGGCTTTCGATAAAGCTGTTGTTCCATTGCAGGATAGAGAATGG